GCCCACGGCTCAAGCAAGGGATGTGTGCTGCCTCTTCCCACAGCCCCACTTCTGGTGCCTTCCCCCTCCAGACTCAGGGCCCAGCCCTGACCTAACCTGAGGAGGAAGGACCCAAAAGTGCCTGATAAACTTTAGCTCCAAGGCCAAATATTGTGGTTAGAACTGCCCAGCACTGGCCTTTGCCAGAGCATCCGATAAACTATTCTTGCTTTAAAATTTTTTTATTATTTTCTAGTAATGTGTTCTTTGAAAAAGCAAGCCATTAAGAAATAAATAAAGCAAAAACTGAAGCCATTTCTCCTCCACCCCTTCTCCTGGACGGTACTCATGACGGCGCACTTCGGTAAACATCCTTCTAGACATTTCTGCGTGTTCACACAGGATGTGCCCGGTTTACCATCTTCCCCACCACGAACCATCCTGATCCCGTTCTTGCCCGCTCTGTAGGGTTTTGTGGTGTTGGGGATGGAAGCCAAGGCCTCTCACACAAGGCAAGATCTCTGCCACTGAGCAGGACCCTAGGCTCATCTTCCAGCTTTATTTTAATGCGACAATGTTTCCATGGAAACCCGGTTGTTTGTAACAGCAGTACTCTGCACAGTGGACAGATCTTAATTCTCTCTCCCGACTGCAAGATGCCTGGGGTATTTTATTTGCGGCTCCCTGCTGCCATAGTCCCAGGGCAAGATCTTCACAGAGTAGCATGCAGCCCTGACTCACTTCTCCACATGTATGTACTTTCCTCCTGCTCACTAGGCTGGTCACCTATGGCGTCTTTAGAAGTCAGGCCCAGACTAGGGTAAAGTGTTCTGTAAGCCAGACCCTGAAAGCAGAAGCCCTGGACGAAAGGTGCAGCTAGCGACAGCCAGGCTCAGCAGACAGCAGCTAGTGGCTGCCTAGACTGGAGTTTTCTCTCTCCACTCTGCTGATCTACGATGTGGGCTCCCAGCATTTCCTTCACATTGCCCTGAATTTCCTGGCTACTGGCGTCCATCCGTGCGTCCCCAGAACAGGCCACTTGCTTCCCACTCTCAGAAGGCAGATTCAGGCTGGAGCCATCACTTGGTCACAGCTAGCCCAGGGGGAGTTCTCCCAGGCTGGGCCACCCCCACCACTTCCCTCCCACCCTGAAGCTCGGAAGCAAGGACTTCCCTCTCCCACTCACCCCGCCCTGGCCTCCGCCATTGCCCAGCAGATGGGGGAAGCCGCCTTCCGCCCCAAGACAGGAAGCTTAGTCTTCAATTGTTCTGTGAGGCACTCAGGCCCTGGCTCTGGGAAGAGGCCACATGGCCAGCCAGGACATTCCTCCTGGGGCCATCCCCCAGATCTCAGGTGCTGAGCAAACACCCTTGGGCAAGTGGCTTTGTAGTCTGAGTTCTCATCCTCAAATTAGGGCCTCTGAGGTCCTGGGGTGCACCCCAGAGATAGCAGGGTAGAAGAAAGGACAAGCTCCAATGTTACCCCTAGTCTCTCCGAGCCCTGTAAGAGATGTGCCTGGCAGCACACGTATGGGTCAGAAGAGCTCACAAGGCCTCAGGAGCCAAGGCTGCCCTGCTGTGGAAAGGGACCCGGGGAGGTAGGAGAGCAACGGCACCACATTTGGGTCCTGGTTTAGCTCTAGGTCACACAGTATAGAACAATAATCCAGTAATCAGGATTTGTAATCCCGATATCTAGGGAGACGGTGCAGGGAGAGCTCCGGGGTGCTGGCTCAGTGCCAAGCACCCAGCACCTTACTCATCCCACTGGGACAAGGAAGCAGGGAGGAACTAGCATTCCCATTTCAAAGGTGGGCACCTGCTCTCCCCCCAGCCCACATCAGCTCACCCTGAGCTACACCACTCCTGGCTTTGGCCTTGGCCTCACCGTGGGCCAGGTCCCTAGAGAATGCCAAAGAAGGGCAAAGCAGGGACAGCACGCACAGCGTCTCCCACACAGGCAAGAAACTCTGACTTGTCACTTAGAAGTCTACACCAGCTGACAGGTGGCAGTTGAGGAATTGCGGGGGACAGCTGAGGAGGCAGGTGTCTCCGACAGTTTGGAGGGGGGTTGACTTTGAAAGTACCGTGGGTTGGACACTTTCATGTGGGCATGAAAGAGCCGCCATCTTCCAGCATTCCCTTGCACAGCTGGGCTGTGACTGAGGTGGTGGCTCTCAGAATGGCAATGCTCCATCGCCAATAACTTCAAGTCCAAAATGCCATCCACCAAGTCGTACTCGCTCTGAGACTAACTGCAAGCAGGGATAATGCTGGGGGATATGACGGATTTCAGATAGGCAGTCAGAATTAATATTTCCAATACAAGCCCATTTGTAAAGAATACAAATCCTAATCCAGCCTGGGCCACCTGGCTGTGTCCTCCCAGAGCCTAGAGATCACTTTAGAGCCCCAGCTAGTATGGGTTCAGTCTAACAGTAATTCCACACCCCTTCCAGGGGACATGGGATCCTGTTTGGAGATATCTGTCATTGTTACAAGTTGGGGTGAGTAGTATACTCAAAGAGGGGGAGCCAAGCGTCCTCTGTAATGCCCGCCCCCAGTTGTCAACGAGAAGTATCTGACCAGGGCACAGGCACCAGTAGAGACAATCACCCAATCACTTGGGGTTTAAGAGCTCAGAGACCGCAGTTAATACAGTCGGGCGCTGTTTTGTTTTGTGTTTGGAAACAAGGTCTCGTGATGCAGCCCTGAATGTCCTGTAACTCACAATGTAGACCAGGCTGGCCTCCAGTTCAGAGAGATCTGCCTGCCTCTGCCTTCAGAGTGCTGGAATTAAAAGGTATGTGCCAGTGTGTCCAGCCTGGAAGGTTCTTTTAGTAACCCCGTCTAAAGGTTTCTGCTTACAGTCTGGAGCTATGCAGAGCCAAGTCCAGAGTTCCTGCAAAGCAGCCCTTGGTGTCAATAGGACAGGATGGGGCAGCGCCACGTGCAGTGAGACCGCAAGAACAGAACAACTCAGCACGACCAAGCTTCACGCTGTTCTGCTGACCAGTCGTAAAGAGACAAGTGACTCCATCTACGGCATTTTCTCCAAAGCACGGTCACCTGCCCCTGTCCCCACACTGCAGCTGGCCCTGCCCCACCTGGGACTCAAAAGTCTGGTGATCTGGGAGAAAGAGCCGAGTCAGGCACTAATCAAGAGAGAGAGCAAAGAAAAAGGCCTCGGCCGCTTTAATCATCCCTGACTGAAGCTATTTTTACAATTTTGAAAGTTAAGAGTGTAGGGCCCAGGCTGGGGCATAAACTCATTACAAGGGGTAGCCAGCAGCATCTTTTCTAGCTCAGTGGCTTCAGCCACTAGGCCCGACTTCACGTATTTCTGTCTGGGAGACCTGAAACTGAAATCATATCGAGGCTGCCGGCCACCTGCTTGCAGGATTCTCATCAGCTTGGCCTAGTCTGACTGTGGGGGCAAAGGTTGTCTGAGTAACTCTCTCAATAAACCACGCAGAAGGAACTATGATCGGCCTGTTTGAGTCAACTGAGGCTCCCAGTGGCTACGGCACTTACTTGCCCAGGGTCACACCCTGAGAAGTGACCGCAGAGTTCATCTGACTAGGAACCCAGGACTGGCAACGGTGAAGCGCAGTCGCCCCAAGGCTCTTGACCCCCGGGGGCGGCTGAGGGGGCATCAGGGAAGCCATTAGGTTCACCCTGAGAAAAGCCTGTATGTCTCAGCAACTCTGATGATGCTTTGCAAAGCCAGGAAGAGGTGTGGGACTGGCTGGTGGCTGCTTGGGAAGAGCCTCCCTGAATACCCTTTGGAGTAGCTGTGGCTGCAACAGTCTTAAAAGGGGAAGGACTCTAAGGTCGACCTGTAGGGAGCCCAATGACCCATGTGTCCCAGTGGTCTTAGGCCAGCAGGGTGATGGCCCAGTTTCAAGACATATCCCCTCTTCCTGTTTCCTTTAGAGTTTAGGAGTCGCCGAATGGAGAAGGCACATTTGTTGGCCTGTGTCGGGCCACCCTCAGCCCTGGTGAACCAGGTTATCCTGGACATCCGTCAAACGTAAGCTCCCACTCTCCAGGAGACCCCTCTTCCCCAGGTGCACAGCTGAGAAGTGAGGCCACACAGAGTGGACACCAACGACCATGAGATAGTGTCCATGAGCCATCAGAGGTCAAGCCAGGGACTGTCTGCCCGGGAACCACTGGGTCCTAACAGCTTTCACGGCTGTTTCTGTGAGCAGGATTTCCACGTGGGGGACGGCCCTCTCTGGGGCCAGAGAACATGCAGAACATGACCCGGGGGCCTCAGGGTCCCTGTGGAGATCTAGGACATCTTAGGTGACCAAACCACAGAGATGAAGCCATGCTCTCCTCAAGTTGTTCCTACTTAGGGCCCCATTGGAGGAACACCGGATGCTAACCCTTAACCTCTACTGGGAGACAAAGCTGCACACTGCAGGGTAGATTTCTGAATTCTCTCTCTCTCTCTCTCTCTCTCTCTCTCTCTCACACACACACACACACACACACACTGCCACCAGCCACCGCCACCGACAATGGCAAAGCTGTCCTCTGCAGCTTTCTGTGGTTCCAATCCCCCCATCCCATGCACCAGACAAGTCCAGGCCCCGCCACAGTCTTCCACAAAGGTGTGGAAGCTTCAGAGGCCTCCACCACTCCTGCCCACCTCAGGGGTTCCTGGAGACCTGAGACTGGGTTAGGCTAGTGCCTTCTCTGGTCACCCCCGGTAGCCCTGGCACTTGCTTTACCAAAGAAGCACAGGTTCCTGTTTTCTCAGCATCGTGCCTGGAAGGACAGACCAACTCTGAGCATCAGGGACAATAGCACAGCAGATCTAACTGAGCAGAACCACAAGTCTAACTGAGCTAGGGCCCTAATCAACAAGTAAAGGCTCCAGAGAGTTGGAGAAGGCTTGGAGATAGTTCCACCTCTGCCTCAAGACCCCTGTGTTCCACAAACTCCTGCTCCAGCACCCCCCACTTTACCCTGCAGCTTCCCCCACCCCCAGTATGTCCCCCCAGTACTCACATGCCCTGCTCCCCATACTGGTTGTAAAACTCCATATGGCTGCATGCCTGAATCCAGCCAACGATCCAGGTCTCCTTCTTGGGGATGGGCGGCATGACCACCTGGGCTGAAGCCCGGAAATGGGGTGTCCGGTAGCGCAGTACCACGCTGGAGGACTCATCAATGCTGGTGGGGATGGGGTCGATGGAGGCTTTCACGTCAATCACCGTAATTCCTTCCCGGAAGACTCTGGCTTTGCCTCCGATGCTCTGAATACAGCCCATGGCACACAGGACCGCTCTAATCTCCAGGAAAGACCAGCAGTCCCAAAAATAACAGGGCATTGAAAGGATGGAGGTTGCAGGACCTAGCGTAGAGCGCGCGATCTAATCTCAAAGCTCAAAAGCGAGATCCATAGGATAGAGAACTTACTGAGTGGAGGGGGCTTGCATAGCACTATCAGACCTGATTATAAATACGGATTCTGCTGCATCTCAAGAGCCCTGGGCTCCCTCTTCTAACAGTGGGCAAAAGCCACCGATATTCTTTGAGTTTAAAAAAAGAAAAGTTTGCAGTTTAATGGATAAGCATGTTGTTCTAACATTCAGCCCTGCGTCCTCACACTTGGGGATGGTAGGTCAGACAGTCTCCCTGAAGTCTTCGGAGGAAGCAGACGAGCGCTGGCAGGCACATAAATAAGGAAGGCTCGGTCCCCGCGCGGTCGCGCCACCCTCGCTGCAGAACGCCGACTTCCTGCCCTTCTGCCTTCCGCACCCGCTCCCTGGGACACACGCGCCCTCCCGGCGGGGCCCAATCAATTGCAGTGTGAGCTCTCGTTCAATCGGCAGAGGTCTGGCGCCCTGCGTGGCCGGCACCCACGCGCGGTTCCAAAAGGCGCGCTCCGGGCTAGGCGCTCTCCGGGTACCCTCCGGCGCCCACTCGCGCGCTCCTTTGCCACTGTCGCTGTCGCCGCCGACCGCCGCGTGGGGCCCCGGGGCTGCGCTTGGGTGTCCGCCGCCGCCTGCTTCGCCGCGGCCGCTGAGGACCTGCAGAGAGGTGGAAGGGATAGGGCGTCAAAGTTGAGCCGAACTTTACTGCGGGGGACGCGAGGGCGCGGCGATGCGTGTGCGCCTGGCGCGGGCTGCGGAGCTGACGGCGCAGCTCTGGGCGGTCTCCCCGGAGGTGGCGCCCCCTCTCCGCCCGCCCCGTCAGTGGCCGCCGCACGACTGCGCGCACCAGCGAATAATCGCCTCCCGTGACATCTCCGCTGACACCCCTCTAGCCCGGGGGCGGGGTAAGGGGGTCGGTCAGACTGCCACCGCAGTGGGTCACTTGCACTTCCCGGCCCTCGTGCTGTGTTTTACCACCAAGCCACAAGCGTGGAACGCCCCTTCTCTCTTGGGTCTCTCGGTCCTCCGGGGTCGCAGTGCCATCCCCAGGCCGGTCCTTTCTGCCATGAGGCCCTTAGCCGGCTGAGGTGGCTCGACCCCAAGAGGGCGCGCTGTCCCCTGTTCCCCCCACCCCACCCCCGCACTCCTTGCCTCAGTTTCCCCTCGCCAGCCGCTAGCCGCAGCGGAGCACAGCGTCGGGGTGCGCGCCTCTGCCCGGGAACTTTGGCACTCACCTCCCCACCCAGGGGGCGTCGCGAACTCACCTGCCCCTAGGGCCGCTCCGGGTGCCTGGGTCACTGCCCTCCGGACGCCCCGACCCCTCCGCCCATACGTTCTCGGGGCGCCCCCCTCCCCTGGGTAGTCCACGGCTCTATTAGGGTCTGGGGATGGCGTGGGCGCCTCGGGTCTCCAAGCCCCTCCTGACTCCTGGGCTGCTGTGGGGATGGCCGGGGGCGGAGGGCTGAGGCTCGGGGCTCTCTTGCCCCCACCCCGAGCGCCTCCTTATTTTATGATCATTGTGAGCGTGCTGTCGCCGCTCTGCCCCGCCGCCGCGCTGCAGCCTCCTGGCGCGCCCAGCGCCGCCTCGCTCTGCTGCAGCATCAGAAAGGCAACCAGGTCAAACTTTGCAGAAACTCGGCCCCTGCGCCGGCCTGGCCCCCGCGTTCGCTCGCAGCCGAGCGACAGCGCGCACCGGCGCACGCAGGACCGCCGCTCGGTCGTGCGCCCCGCGGGATGCAGGTCCGCAGGCGGCGGCCGGCGGGCGGGCGCCGCCTCCTCCTCCGGCCCGCCCGGCTCTCCACCCTCGCTCCCGCACTCAGCGTGCCCTCCCCACTTGGTTGTCCTTCTCTCCCTCTTTTCCCCCCTCTCTGCAGCTGCTGGGGGAGTTGAGCCTCTTCTTGCATAAACGACATTTCCTTTTTTGCTAACCCTAGGAATTCTGGGTAGTGTAGTCCTCCGTCTCACGCCAGTCCTGGGTGGGGGGTGCTCCTACTGCCCTTTGACTTCGGCTGTCAGGGGGGTTTCCAGTTCAGAAGACCTAGGGCACTACCCTGGAAATCCTGTCTGCCTGCGTTGGCGGTTGGGTGGAGACTGTGGAAGCTTTGGGAGGCCCCAAGGTTTGGTGGGTGGGAGAATTTAGTTCCCCAGTGTTGGTCCTTTGCGTCTGTAGGATGGTCAGACTGTAGTTGTCCCCAAGTGTGTGAGAAGTTTTCATTCATCAGACACTCTGAGTGGGAAGTCTCTTTATGTACATCTCACAGAGAAGGGAAAAAATCCAGAATGGGAAGACTGAAAAGATTGGCCACCACCCCAACCTGGCAGGGCTCCCTGCAGAGACCCTCAGGTGGTCTCAGAGATAAGGTTCAAAAGGAGTTTATCCCCAGACAGCAGTGGGACAGCAAGAACCCAAGTAGCCTCAGGCCTTAGCTCCACCCCTACCCTGCAGTTACCTTCTAGATAAAGGAGAGTTTGTGACATCAGAAAACCTGGCAGACACCAAAGGCACGCCCCACTGCTGCGGCCACAGCCTCTTAAGCCTGACTTTCAAGACTGTCCATAACAGACACAGGTTGGGTGCTTGTAGTTAGTCCCAAAGCTAGAGTCTGCTGAGCAGATGACAGGGGCATTTCTGAAACTTTGGGAGGGTCTCTCTGGGGAATCCATCTCACTCCTGATCAGCCACTGCAGGAAATGGCCAGTTAGGGTGGCTATTGCCTGTTCCCAGCCACACTGTCACAGGACCATTGCTGCTGTCCTGTGTTCCCAGCTAGTGGAGTGATGTCCTTTTCCCATCCAACTTTTAGGCACCTGGTATACCCTAGTCCTGCCTGATGTAAAACCGTAGAAGCATGTGGTCTCCTAAGGGCCTAGTGTAAAATTTGCAGTCTTTCCTGGTCTATGAAACCACAGTGGCCTCCCCAGATTCCGCACTACATTCTGTTCTTCTGGGAGCCCCTACAGCCGGCAACACCTCATGCCATTAGAGAACTCCTATGCTACGTCATTTGTACAGGAGGACGCCATGAAATTTTGGGAGGCCCGACTCATTTTCCATCACCCCAAATGCCTGGAACCTATTAGGTCCCAGTTGCCACGGTGCTTCCATGAAAGCATAGATGTTCTCTCAAAAACAAGACACCACATTCCAGACTGCTCCGGGCTCATGTGTGGAGCCTGTATTGCTTAGGGGAAAGAGACCACAGGCTACATTGCCCAGCTGCACCGGGAAGACCCTGGAGGTGGTTTCCTGGGGGAGGGATTCCCCTGAAACACGCTGGCGATACTTTTGAGCTCTACAGCACACAAGTATCACACACGTTCAGGTATTCAAGCCTGAGCAAGTGATGGCGGAAGGGCACCACTGTGTGTCACACCCACACCAGCATCATCATCCAGGTTCACCTGGACCCTGGGAGATGGTAATAGGAAACCAGGAGACACTGAACTCTGGATCCTGGCCCCAATCGCACCACCCTCAACGCCCACATACTTGCCTACTAAGACTGGTTTCTCTGAACTAAGATGGACTGGCCACCAGAGCAGGCCACAGATCCTTGAATGTCCACAGATAAGGGTTTGTGTAGGGAAATAAAACCTCCCTTCACTTGCTCCCCCATCACATTGCCCCTGTGAAGAACTTCACTTTGACCTGCAGAAGGTTGGCCCAGGATTGGAAGTTGCCAGGCTTATAGTTAAGGGGTAGCTCCTGCAGGAGCAGCCAGGACTTGGCTCACTTAAAAATTCCCTGCCCCAGCTCCTGCTCTGCTTGCTTGCATACCCTTTGGCCCTCCTGCCTCCCCCACCTCCTTACTCAGATGCCCTGGCCCATTTCCTGATCTGCCTACTTGTACACTCTTGGGCCCCTTGGTTCTTCCACCTCCCCACACAGCCCTTCTACTTGCATGGCTTTCTTGGGAGGTTTGTAAGTGTTGGGCACAAACCTATATCAGCTTCAGCTTTTGTGGAAAGTCAGGATGTGACCATGAGAGTATAGGATGCTGCAGTCTGTGGAGCAGAGAAAAAGGACCTCAGTTAGAGATGTGTTCTACACCAGTGTACTCACACTGTCCCCATCCCCTCCCCTTTGCCATACATAGGTCAGGGTTGCACAGCCCTGGTGCAGTAGATTAGGAAGATCATGCAAACCCAAAGATATACAAGTGAGAGACAAAAAACAGCATGCGGCCCTGAACAAGCCCCCAGAGACCCAAGACATGGCCCAGTACAGCATCTCTCTGCTGAGTAAACTATGAGCCAGGGGCTTCTGCACGCACTGTCTTCACAGCCTTGGCAATGACCCCCAAAGCCAGGCCTTGTCATCCCACTACACAGATGACACGGGTGCCTGGGGTTGGGGTGAGTGAGGTGGCAGTTGAACCCAGAAGCTGGGTGATCGTGATGGAATGGGCCCTCTCACCCACAGTCCCCTGATCAGTGCAGCCATGTTCAGTGGCTACCACAGGTCACGACAAGGTTCACTGACTCTCAGGAACCACCTGCTTTTAGGGCTCCAGAAGATTCACCGGGAGCTCACTACTGCCAAAGACAAGGTCCTTGTATGTCCAGAAAGGCCATTTTAGAGGAAGTCCTCAAACTGTGGAGGGAAATGTGAAGCCCAGGGATTCTGTTGCCCTGGGAAGCAGGGTTCTTGCCCCAACTGTTTAGAATCAGACAGAAAGCCAATGGGGAGGCTTGGAATGACCACCAAGGTCAGGTAGGTGGGGCCACAATCCCCACAGGCTGGTCTGCGTCACCTTTGGCTGGAGGGGTTAGCATCAAAAGGCTAGGAGTCAGACCTAGGTGAAGCTGGGTGGGCCTGCAAGTAGCAGACTGAACCTGGCCAGCTGAGAGAGGGCTGGTACCACAGGGAAGTCATCCAGAGACTTTCTGTGACTAAATCTCAAGTCTCCTGACCCCAGCGCAGTGATAACATTGCTCTCTACTGAGGAGAGCCGTGGCCAGGCATAGGGCACGGCAGGGAAGCAGCAGCAAGTGCATAAAATCCATTGAGCCAGCATACCTTTAATCTCAGCCCTGGGAGAAAGAGGCAGGTGGATCACTGTGAGTTTGAGGCCAGTCTGATCTACAAAGTGAATTTCAGGACAGCCAGGACTGTTTCACAGAGAAACCCTGCCTTGAACAAAACAAAACAAACAAACAAAACCACATTGTCTGGTCTGTTTGTGAACCTGGGAATTTAGACAATCGTTAGCCAAATGCTCCGGACCACATTCTCCCAGGGCGCTGCTGGCTTGGGACCTCTCCACCAGCCTTTTGTCAATCTTCACTGAACACCTCAAGCCTCCTGAGACGGTCAAAGCACTTACATCCCTGTGGGACAGAAGAATGATGAGGGATAACTCCAGGAATGATGAATGGAGGCATGAATTAGCATAAATAATGAATAGGTATGATTTGAAGCTTGTAGTGGTTACAATAATCAATCTCTATCAATCAGGAAGTCAGTTGTTTTGATGTGCAGTTCGGTATTGAACTGGGAGTGGAAGGGAAAATGCGTTCGTCAGTTGGGGAGTGAGCTGGTGTGTGTGGAAACGTGCCCACACGTCTGTGCCTGTGTTTTAATGTGCAATGGTTTGTATGAGTCCCTGGTAGTATGATGAGTGACAGTGTATGACAATGTGAGAACATGTGCCCATAGCAACTATGTAATGTGTGCCAGTGTTTGTTTTGGCTGTGTGTCCGAGCGTGTTTGTCTGTGGAAGAGTGTCGTGTGCATGCACCCATGTGAGCTGCTGTAGGTGTAGCTGTGGGCATGGTTGTGATGGAGGAGTGTGTATGAGAGAGTGAGAGAGTGCGTGTGTTTGCGTGGGGTGTGTCGCCTGTCAATGTGGGACTGGCTGTTGGGCGGAGAGGCTGAGCGGCATCACTGCTGGCTTGGTGCCAAGTGCGCTCCCATCCCCGCGCCCACTGGGTCCTCAAGGCTGACGCTTTCTTGTAGCTGCCTACTTTCCCCGGGCCCCGGGATCGGGTCTCCGGCGGGCGCCCTCCTGTCCCCGCCCTGCGTGTACGGAGCGACGGCCTGGGGATCCACTTTGGCCCCAGCCCGTGAGCGGGTGTCCGCTGTGCGGAGCCTCTAGGGGAAGACAGAGGGGGGCGACAGCAGGTTGGGCGCGGCCTCGGATCCGGTGCGGCACTGAGAGTTCTCCAAGGTGCTAAAATAAACCCAACGCGAAGGATCAGGTTTCCCGACCAAAATAACCCAGCAGCAGCCTTAGAAATGCGAAACGGGAAAATGATCCCGGGCGCGCGCCAGCGCTGGAGGCGGTGATGAAAGCTGCTTCCCGCGGTGTCGGGGGTGGGGGCCTCGCTGGCCAGAGCGGTCACCTCTCCAGGCTCTTGCCCACCATCCCTTTCTCTTCTGGGGTCCTTGCCGCAG